CCCATAGTCTGCACCCGCACTGCACCCACAAAGTTGAAAATGCAAAAGGCAAGGGGTGCACGTACACCCGCTGCACCCGTGGTTGCGGAATCCCCGGTTCTCACATAAATAACGAACACGCTTTTTGTAAAAAACATAGGCCATTTGCAAGGTCATACGATGCAAACGTCACATTGTTTTGACGTTTTTTTAGTGGTATTTCCGGTTGGGATAGCTCACGCGATTGTCTGAACAAAAATATAGACTAGCCATACATTTCGCCGAAAATAACTTCCACCCCTTCAAACATATCGTCTTTGTAATAGTCTTGTTCGAATCCCCATCAAAAACACTATTTAGAGTGTTATTTGCAAGCCTGTATCTTCAAATTTGCATCTTTTATCACGGTATTTCCATTTCTTGTCCGGCTGTGAGCTCGAGGCTCGAAGTAATTTGATAGTATACGAGCGCATTTGACTTTCAAACTCCCATAAGTCGCTACAATATTAATAATGACTATAACTATCATTCGGAATTAGTTGATCTTTTATTTCTGAATCGAATGGTGGTATTTCTGTCTTCATAGGCATAGCATGTACTGATCTGAAGATATTAAATTTCTAGCCGTCAACCTCTCGTCTCTCGAGGACGACCTCGCAAAGTCCAAAGAGTTTTAATTTAATTAATATTAAAGCTGGATTCTTTCACCGTGATGTCATGCCAAAAGGTGTCTTTTCCATTTGTTAAAATTAATTTAAAAAAGATCCCGGGTCTATATATTGAATTGTGATTTGGTAATATTAATTACAATTGTATATTTGATTATTTTGTTAGTGATCAATAATTTGAATTTGTTCTCGGAAAACAGTCAAACATCAGACCAAACTTCTACGCTGTTGCTTATTTAGTAGTTTAACTAGAAAATACATGCATGCAGAAACCCTCGCCTTGCTGACAAAACCGTTGTATTTTCCGAACATGAAGTATCTGAAGTCGTTGTACGGTAACCATAGATATAGGAGATATAGATCGCCGACTCAGCTCGCGAGGCGTGACATTTTGAACAATCCAAGATGGCGGAACAAGCGGGCAAAAAAAAAACGCGGGAATTTTTTTTCCATATAAACACATTAGTTTTCGAGCGTTCTGCGAAGTTCTCGGCTGTTTTGAAGTGTTTTAAAGCGTTCTGATTTTAGTTTTTTTGGCTAAAACATTGAGCAACACCCACTTGGCTTTGTTTTTATTATCCAAAACTACAATGCCACAGTCTTGAGCGCGAATGAGCGGCGTAGAACTGTACGAATAAGACTCTGGAGAGTGACATCGAACAGTGGAATTGCTATTTCATTCCACAGGTAGAATATGCATTTTATAAATGTTTTAATGCCACTTTTTTCCGACTTTAGTGGGAAAATATAGTTTATCTTAAATGGAAAAATATAGTTTATCTTTGTATTATCAATTATTTTGTTAAAAACTTGAGATTTTTGTCCTTAATATATGTATTCTTTCCATTGTTTTCAAAAAGTTCCAGCTCGCCATTTTCTACAGTGCTCAGTAGCTCACTGTTCACACTTGAAACATTTATAGCATCTTTTTATTTGAAAAAAAAAAAACTTGAACGTAAATTTCAATGCCCACTATGATTTGCATAATTAAATTATAAATAAACTGATAAACATTTAATATGGCAAGCATAAAATTGCTCTCAGCTTCTCATGAAGTATTCCAGCTAAATTACCTGCTATAAATATTTTCAAGAACTATCCATAACTTCAGCAGATGCATCATTGCATCAAAACAATGTAAAACAACAAATCCCAAACATTTTCCAATCAAAATATCAACAGAAATTCACAGGCAACAACTATACCAACAACTATACTGTATATACAGACAGGTGTGTTGAAAATATAGGTCTAACTATAAAGAGCTTCAGGCCATGCACAACCTCTTGAGATAAAGCAGTTTAAATATGATATGAAGGTTCATGAATGTTTATGAAATGAAGGTTTATCCATTCAACTTCATTGATGTGATTTGTGCAATCCAATAAAATATATACCCTTATGTTTTCATTAACCCATTAAGCTGCAGAGCTTCCCCATTGACAAGTAAAATCGTCAGGCGTTAGACAAGTACTAGTAAAAAAATAAGTAGGGCGCACTGGGGCACATTGCGGCTCAATGAGTTAATTTAAGGCTTACAAGAGAAACCTGCAAAATATCTACTTGTTGACAAACTTTGGGGAACAATCCAGCAACTCCAACAGCATTACTTGCATCTGCATACAATGCATTGCTACCAAAATAGACACAAATGGACAATGAACAGAATATTTATTTCACAATTTTTGAACCATACAAAATATGAAATAAACAACTTCAGCTACAAATTCAAATATATTTTAAAATGCATCCTTATATAAAAATATGCCAACCTAGGCTACATGACAGATAATTTCACATGCAAATCATAACTGCAAACATTTGTCAATTTAACCCTTTTGGCATAATAGTGCATAATCCAAGTGGGGGCATATGCATACACAATTTAAGACCTACTGTAACCAGGAACGGTTGAGAACACTAGGTCCTCTTCCAGGAATCGAACCTGTGGCCCTGCAATTCCAGTGTAGCACTCTAACCAACTAATGCACCTTTCAATGTTAAGCCTGGGGAGGCAAGGGGTAGAGATTTGAACAACTTTGCTTGCCCGGCGGGGAGGATTTTGATGTCGCAAGATCACCCTGCGGTGTGGACAGGGCCACCGAGAGAATATGTAGGGCCTCGGACAAATCTTCCCTGGGGGCCCCATGACATTATTTTTAAGCTAGACCCAACTAGACCTTAGCTAGACTGCATGTGGAGGTACTGTAAGGGGCTCTCAATTTCAAAAATGCTCTGACCAATTTAAAGAAACTACTCAATTTTAGGCTCTTCCTCTCAAGTTGGGGCCCTATTATGGTGGGGGCCTGGGGCAATTTTCCCCCTCCCCCTGGCCCCCTCTCGGCGACCCTGGGTGTGGACATTTGATCTTTCAAGGCAGCCCATGGCCAGGCAATTTTGAATATTTTTTATTCATACACAAATAATGGGAATGAGTCCATGTCACTGGCCTATACATATTGTCACTGGCCTATACTTAGATTGTTGGAACAGGCAATTTAATAGTCTGCTTTGTTGAAGTACAACAATTTGGGTTATTAGTTTGATCATGAATGCAATATAACAAATTTTCCCAACCCCCAGATGGGGGAAATATTACTGTTTTTTGAACAATGGTGGTGTTCCTGGGGTGTGGATTTTGACAATTTTTTTCAGGAAAATGTCAAATCCCAACCCCATGCCCCCCCCCCGGGCTTAACATTGATAGATACATAAGCTGCATGGGCCAGTTGCCAAGCTGCAACCACAAGTTCATGTTCAGTTATATATAGATTTTCAGGTGTGTGGATTTTGATAAGGTAAACTTGAAAGATGTGTTTTGCACTTCACTTGGTTGGACAAGAATGTTGGGTTTAGTGGATAATCCAAGCAAGCATATATACACAGTTTAAGACCTAAGGCGACAGGTTTGATTCCTGCCAGAGGACCTAGTGTTGTACTTTTTGCAACCGTTCCTGGTTAGGTCTTAAATTGTGTACATATGCCCCCACTTGGATTATCCAGCATTCACTGTCCAGAATAACAATCCCATAATATTACAATTTGAATCGGCATTATGAACAGAACACTGTGACAAACCGGAGAAAGAGCTTGAACCTGACAAGATAATTGTGGGAATGCTTGACAGCTCTCCAGTATAGTGTTTGGTTACATTAGAGGGTTCATAGTGTAGCAATTTCTTTCATCCATAAAATGTGTTGAATGTGCTTGATACCTTGGTGGCTTAAAATCAAAATATACTACCAGATCAGTCATCCTACCCCTGTACATCCCCAAACAGCTCCAACTACTTAATTTCCCTCAAGAGTTATATGGCACTTAATAGTTCCTTCGCCATCAGCTGTGAAAATAGTCCAAGTCACAGATAAAATCCCTCGTGAAAGACTCCATCAGTGGCATTTAATGAAGAAAGAATCCCTACAAGTGATTAAACAGCAAGTTCTGCCGGAGACCAAGCCATCTACATTCACGTCCTTGGGGCAGTACTCATGAGAATGCCATATTCTTGACTAAAATTTACGAGATGACCATATTGCACTCCTAATACACTCCATTTCAAACCTCTAGGCCAAGATATTTGTCTACCGCTTCGGAAAGATCCATTCGGAGAAAATAGTTCGAGATGAAAAGCCATCAGAGAGACAAAAAATTAACAAACTAATCCTCTTTGGTAATGATTAACATTGGATTCGGCAGCATAAATGTCCATGTGGTTGAATAACTCGACACATTTCAGCTGAATATTTCGAGATATAAAAGCAAAAAAAACACACTGAATCCTTGAATGACGTTAATAAAGATAATATTTTTTAAATAAAACCAAAATCGTAGCAAAATTCCATGTAAATTTTCCACAATAAGTGCTTGAAAATACCCATATTTACCTAGTTTTCCTATGTCACTTGCGTTTTTTGCCCGCTTGTTCCACCATTTTGGATTTTTAATTTTGGTCACGTCTCGTTTCAAGTCTTCAGAATAGGAGTCGGCGATCTATATCTCCTATATCTATGGGAGTAATGCCTGTCATAAGCCCACTGGACTCGTCCCATGAATCATAGCGTGGTGGTGGTTACTCGAGACATACCTTCTGTATGTCTTTATTCTGTGATCAGGTCTTACGCATTCAGATAATAATCCTCATACTAAGGGTTTTAATTTCTGTAAAGTTAAAGCAAAGTATGAAATAAAGAAATTGCTCAATTACGTTTCAACCTAATTCAGAGGTTGGTTTGGATTTGGAACAAGGTTAATTATATGAATTTGGCAAATCCTTGAGTCCAGATACAGGGTTGTGCTAAAATAATACTGATATGCATGAGAGCCTTCTATAGTTCTAGCTGGTAGACCCATACTCCCAAACCATACATACACATTCGAATATTGCCTAATTGCTAATACAAATTTACGTGCATGTTTTATTATAACAGAGGAAAATAAAACATAGTTGTCGGTTTTTGTTTTATTCACATTTCTAAATTGCATAATGCAAACAACGAAGAATTACATATGGATGAGTTATTTTTTATGGATAAGTCAAAAATCAAATAACGGCAATGCCCCCACATGCACCCCCATACATTGAATCCCATCGTTAAAGTTCCCGTCCGGAAAACCCCTTGTGTATAAAAAGATAAAAATACCAAAGTTCATGAAATTTAGACTGATAAAGATGCAAAAATGTTCAGCAATTCAAAGGTATATAGGACCACGTAAAAAACTTCTAAATTCTGGCATTTGAACTTCATTAAGCTGTCCACTCACGAGGTTGGATACTCTACCCTGCACTTCAGTAAGAACATCAAGCAAATGTCTTGGATTGCGCTTTTTTGATTTCTTGCTGGAATATTCTTCGTGCATGACCTTGGTTAATTCATCAATATACCATGAACCATTGTTAGTAACTCTACTAGCAGTGTATCCATCTCCTGTCGCGAATGCAATCAAGTGGTCAGCCTGACGCGGAAGATAACCAGAATTTTTCACGCCCGGTTTTGTCGATGATCGAGCCTCGTTATTTCGCAACGATGATAGAGGGGAAAAACCAGCCGTTGCATCAAATTCCAGTTCAATACGGGCACCTAAGCACATAACGAATATTGTAAATTTAAATGTTTAATAATCTTTCTCTGGGAACAGCAATAATAGTTTCCCCGTTGTAGAAGGATTCAATATAGCACAAAAACGTTTTACAGATTTTCTATATCGTTCTTCATGTAAAAGATATTGCACTTCGTTCATTTAATTTCATTTCAGATCAGCCAAAATCATAAACCATTCCACCATTTTGGCTAGGCATCTCCATCTTGAATATGCGTGACGTCACAACCAGGATAACTTAATTTTGTATCAAAAGCAATTCCCATTAAAAATCTAAATCCTAATTTTTACTATTGCTTATTTTAAATTAAAGCACATGCAAGATACATACAAACTTTCCACTAATAATATTTTTCATTTTAAAATGTCTACCCTGGTTGTGATATCAGGTAATTAGATCTAATTATACAACAAGTTGGCAGATGGTGGGATATTTTGGTTTCAAATATCTCAAAAATTGAGATAGTTTAGGAGAATATATATAAAAAGGTTCTTAACATTCTTTGAAATTAGGCAAACATAATTTTAGTTGCTATTTTCCTATAACCGTGACAACATGAAGTTGAACGCTTACTTAAGCCTGGTTTCATATATTGCAATTCATCGGCGATGCTCAATTAGCCTTTCTCACGCCGCCATTTTTGAGGTACTTTTTTGCCAATCCTGCGAACGTAACACCACTTAACGGCAACATTTTATAATTTTGTGGGTGTGTGATGGTAAATTTACTCTGTAAATAGTTAGTTTGTTCTGAAATATTGCTTTTCACATTGTTATAATCGTTTACAAAAAATTACAGTACCCCAAAAATGGCAGCGTGAGAAAGGCTAATTAGCTCCACTGTCAATATAGCCATACTGTAGGTGTATAGATTTATTTTTCTACTGGGAAAGATTAGTTTTGTTTCCATTGATCGCTGACAAAGGACCATGAGTACATCGCCGATAAATTTCGATATATAATAATCAGGCTTGGGAATAATACAATAATCTCTGTACAAGTATCATGAACTTTTTGAGTATTCTATCTCTTTCGTTGGGTGCAAAATGCTGTCAAGTACGCTACCTTTAACCTCAAAGTGAAGCTTGCTGCTGCTGGGCGAGGGCAGGGACTTACTCAGGTTGAGTTTTTTCCCTGTGCTTGCCCATCCATGTAAGTTGAGTTTGATTGGTTTTGTCTTGTGCTTCCTAAGGTTTCCTCCATCACTAAAAACTAACTATTGGACATTAACGCATCATACGCATCTTATACTCAGAGAGTAATTTTACTGTCCGCAAGGCTATGGCGTTATGACTTGCCGGACTTGCTTTTATCCAGGCTGCTCCATTTACTGTTCGGAGTACTCTTTGGACTGTTCGGATCGAGTACTCTTCGTACTTTTTGGAATAGTAATAGAATCGATCCGAATTGGAAAACGGTCACATGACTGTTCTGACTGCTCCTACCTTTTAGTAAGAGCAGCCAAAAGAGTCATGTGACCGTGTTCAGTTCTAGTCTATTAGTGTTCCAAAAACTCTGGGTACTCCGAACAGTAAATGGAACAGCCTGACTGTCTGCAAGGCTATGACGTCATGGCTCTATGCCAAACTTGAAGTTGCGTTGCAACTTGCAAGTTGCGCAAAAAATTGTGGACTACCCATTAATCCATTTTTAAGCGCCATAGGTATCTGGAGTGAGAACTCGTGTTCAAAAAATGAAATCAAGATGGACGTCAGTTGCAGACCCTTTTCTATTGTTTTTGTCTGCGCGGTTCACACGAAGCTGCCGCAAGGATTGTGACCCGAAATTTCGTATTTTTACCCCGATTTAGAAAATTATATACTATCCCTTAATGCAACTTATCCCTTGTTTAGCGATGCGATTCGTTAGAAAAACTGGAAGAAGTTGAGAGATACGGTACGTATTAAAACTATTTTACGACCTTCACAGATATTGAACGTCCATTTCCGCCATCGTAGCTACACTTTAGGCCGAAAGACTGAAGTTCTTGCTCGAAATAAACAGTATATGTCACTGGGACTATAAAATAATCAGGGCAAAATGGAGGGGGAGGGACAACCTAAATTATGAGCATAAAATTTTTTAAAAATCTGTAATTCACTCGCTAATAAAACAGACTTTAATATCAAATAGAAATATGCTAAGAAGACATGTGGCGCAACTGCATATGTAGAAACAAAGAACTTTAAAGTTTCCATTATCATATAATTATTGGTGTTTTTACCTGCCACCGCAGTACTGCGATCTATGATACCCATATTAAGTTTACGACCACGACAAGCTTGAATGAAGAATATCTTTGGTTTTCCAACCAATGTGGGGTTATAATTGAATGGTAACAATAAGTCATCAAGAGCCACATACTCTCCGTCAACGCCTTGGAGCTTATCTGGACTTTCTCCATGTGTTAATATAACAACAATAACACAGTCAGCACCACGGTAGTCCCGTTTTGCCCAAACCTTGCACGATGCCCGCATTTCTTCACATGTAATGTTAGTCTTACAATCAGCATCCTGATCATGATGAAAACCAAGTCTTCCAAAACAAGCCGTCACTTTCCCAACATCATTGGCACCTCCTTCACGAAATTCAAACTTTTCGTTTAAACCGGCAAAATTATCTAAAAGTAAGACGGGTTCAGTCATTTCAGTTGGTTAGTGCTGTTCTCAGTGACTATAATCATGGCTAATTGTTGTGGAACGACAGAAGCAATTTCAGAGATTTTATTTTTCTAATTTATTTTAAAAAAACCCCTCCCCCGTATAAATGTTGAAATGTTTCCTGCTGCATTTGATCTGGACAGGACACAATGATGACTTAATATATCATGTAATCATTGAAACTAGTGGGGACAATTGGTGCATAGGAATCGGCGGTAAGATAAAATTGGGCTCGCGCTTATAATAATTACTGCGCGTTCCACAAACAATTGGCCACAATTGCAGCGATAGCTAGAGGTCGTACCAATTTTTATGATTTACATTATTCAAACCTTTAGAAATGCAATGGTTTTAACCTATTTAGGTGCAGGTTTGCTGGTATAGTATGACCAGTTGCCATGGCCAGCTTCGCCACTGCAGGCTGCTCTGTAATGTGCAGGTATGCAGACGAGGTGACCGCGCTGGTTTACCCCGGTATGTAGTCTTGCTATTGTACTATGATGTAAAGTTTAATAACAATCCACCTTAAGTAAAAAAATACAGTGGACTTGCAAATTCATAAACATTATAAAGCCATCTATATTACCATAAAAATTGTATTTTTAAAAGGTTCAGTTGCCAAAGGCACAGACGACGATTATGTCCTTCAGTTCAGAGAATAAAGCAAACTACATTTAGCCTAAAATTACAGAACCGTCTATTACATTAGTAATTTAAAGTTTATTATTAAAAAGTTTAACTGCACGAAGCATAAACGATGATTTATGTCTTTCGGTTCTGGAAATAATGTGACCTACATTAGAACCTCTTTCTTTAGTTCTGGTGGAATAGTCATGCTTCTGTGCGATAGGGACAAGGTGGTGACAGGGATGGTTTACGTCCTGAGTAATTGCCTCAATTTCTCGAAGAGTTAGTTTATCTCTTCTCTCACTAAGCGGGGGAAGAATACGTAAGCTTCTCCTTTGAGTACGCTCAAGGTCGTTTACTAAATAGTGAGGTAGGACACCCCAAACTGGTGCGGTATATTCAAGCAGTGGACGAATTTTGGTGCAGTAAGTTTCCAATCCTACTTCAGTAGGAAGGTGAGCCTTCCTGCACTGCGTTAGATGACACAGTCTCTTGTTTCCCTTACGAATAATTTCTTTGATGTGAGAATTCCATTTCATGTTACTTTGACAGCTAACACCAAGTAACTTGAATGAATTAACTCTTTCGATCATAACATCCCCGGTATAAAGATTGGGACGCTGTGGAATAGATTTCCCAAAGCAAATCCACATATCTTTCGTTTTCTTTGCGTTCAACTTCATTCTATTAGCGTTTGACCAATTCTGAACGGAGTCTAAGACTTTCTGCATGTTGCTACACTCGCCCTTCATGATGCATTCGCTTTGTGTGCAGTCATCGGCATATTTATATGTGCTCACCTCAAGATCTTCAGAAACACTCGTATCTAAGTCGTCAATGTGGATATTAAATAGAGTCGGCGAAAGAGCAGATTTTTGCGGTACTCTAGCTGGGCAACCCTCGATCGATGAAAGTGTTTGATTTATCTTGACCTGCTGAGTTCTACCAGATAAGAAGCTTTTGGCCCACAACCAGAAGCTTTTATTAACATTCATCAATGCAAGTTTATTCAACAGGATCCCATAATCAACTAGATCAAAGGCTTTTTTAAAGTCAATAAAGAGGGCATGGATGTCTGCTTTGTCACGGCAGGTATTGTCAGTAGCATTAAACCATGGCTGTGTGATGGATTTCAGAGCCGATGTAGTAGAGCGGCCACTAGTAAAACCATGTTGACTGGGACGTAGTATGATGTCATTTTGATTGAGTTGTAGTTGTACCCTCTCTACGATTTTCCCAATATGTGGCAAAACAGAGATTTGTCTAAAATCGTTACTAACGTCAGTTGCTGGGTATGCTTTAGGCACAGGTGTGACCAGGCCATGTTTGTAATGACTTGGATAATCCCCGAGCCGGCGGCGCGAAGCGCCGTGCGAGGGTACTAATTCCCCCCGGCTATTTACACCCGGGGAAACGAAAGCATTAGCGGAGTCTAAAGTTCATCAAATATCGCGGGCGCATGGTTCACCGTTCATGGGTGGTCATCCTCACTGATCTCAAAATATAGCGGACTGTCGTGAATAGCGAACACTGATTGGTCAAATTTAAAATTTGTTGTTGTGAGATGAACTGACGACTTCAACTGACAGATACTTCATGAAAATAATTTGCTTTTTGCACTGCAGTATTTTGTACGTTTGCAAAAAACTTTGACAGCTTTCAAAGCAATTTGCTCTATAAAGAGTTTAATAAAACAATTATGGTATCAAATACCAATTGAAAAGATATGGACTACGGATTTGGATAAATTGGATAAATTTTAAGTAATCGGGTGTGCGAGTTATGATAAGGTGGACTTCAATAATTTGGATTCTTGCACTTCACTTGGTGGACTTAATATTAGAATGTTAGGGTTTGTAATCCAAGTGAGAATATATACATTTTAAGACCTAACCAGGATCGACTGCGAAAAATGCAGCACAAGGTCCTCTGGTAGGAATTGACCCTACGGCCCTGCGATTCCGGTGCAGCGCTCTAACCAACTGAGCTACAGCTCGGCCAGCTGTTGAGCTTTAACCATAAGTTCATGTATATTTAGGTAATCGGGTGTGCGGGTTATGATAAGGTGGACTTCGATAATTTGGATTCTTGCACTTCACTTGTTGGGATTAATATTTGAATGTTAGGGTTTGTAATCCAAGTGAGAATATATACATTTTAAGACTTAACAAGGAACGACTGCGAAAAATGCAGCACAAGGTCCTCTGGTAGGAATTGAACCTACGGCCCTGCGATTCCGGTGCAGCGCTCTAACCAACTGAGCTACAAGAGACCAGCTGTCGAGCTTTAACCGTAAGTTCATGTATATTTAGGTAATCGTGTGTGCGGGTTGTGATAAGGTGGACTTCAATAATTTGGATTCTTGCACTTCACTTGGTGGAATTAAAATTAGAATGTTCGGGTTTGTAATCCAAGTGAAAATATATACACCAAATATATACATGTACTATACCGGTACATTTGTATATTCTCACTTGGATTACAAAATATTCTCACTTGGATTTACAAAAATATATACATTTGTATATTCTCACTTGGATTACAAAATATTCTCACTTGGATTTACAAAAATATATACATGTATATATTCTCACTTGGATTACAAACCCTAACATTCTAATATTAATTCCACAAGTGAAGTGCAAGAATCCAAATTATTCTCACTTGGATTACAAAATATATACATGTATATATTCTCACTTGGATTACAAACCCTAACATTCTAATATTAATTCCACAAGTGAAGTGCAAGAATCCAAATTATTAATTTCAAATGCCCGCCGGGGCTAAGGTTCGAGTGGAAATGCCCAACCCCCGGGATGTGCTTTACAGGAAAATGGCTGGGCGAGGGGGATGGGCACACTTGGATTTGGCTGATGCATTAAAAGTCCTGTGCTTATTCCAGACTGCTTGTCAAATATTTACTTGCTAGAAGTAGAAATTTACTCTGACCGCTGGATGAAGAAGACATTAAATAAGTACTGGTCAATAAACAGAAATGTATTTTATTTCATAGTATTACAATTTTATTTTTATACTATAAAAATAAAATATAAACATGCAGCATAGAATATGCAAATTCGAGGCAAAATTATTGTTGAATCGGTTTATTTATAGGATTTATAACAAATAGCAACTATAAAAGTTTGTACCTTGTCTTCACATCGTAATAGCCAATGCTTTTAATTTTACATATTTTAGAATCAGTTCCTTTCCTGGTAACTGCATTTCTAAATGAAATCATCGTGAGTAGTGAGTGCTGAGCAGGCTGTTTTACTATAAACAAATTTTAGGAATTGTTAACAACTTTGAAAAATATATCGTTGCACATTCGGTCACAGTCGGAAAAATGTTCATAGTATGTTGTACCGTCGTTTGCAACTAACGATGAACAGTCGCTCATAAAAACATTCGCGTGATTAGAATCTTCAATGTTTGTCAAGAACAACACTTAATTGTTGTTTCCCATGTGTGCAATAAAAATAAGTAACAAAACTTTGTCTGAACTTGTTGGGCTAGAGACCTACTGGAAACTTTTACAGGCTTTTTAATGAGAATAGAGAATGTTTTATCTGCAACTGTTCACCCTTAGTTGCCACCGACGGTATTTGATAACTGATATAAATAAAATACAGTCTGGTTATACTGACTTGAGCGTGTCATGACAAACTCTTTATTGGAAAATTGTGAAGAAATAGTCGAATATAGAGGGTCGAATATCATACTTAAACTTGTATAGCTACAGTATCATTGGTACATAGCGTTGTGAAAACAAGCCTTTGCTTTAATACCTTTCGCTTCAGCAGTCTTTTTTTTCCATGCTTCTCTACGCTTTCCCAGGCGAGCTTCTCTTTCCTCAGCAGTCTCCTCGAGCAAACGTTGTCGTCTTCGCTGGCTCCCTCCTTTTCGCGAGACGTTCGGCTTTCTTGTCGTTTCCTTGCCGCTCTTCATTTGGCTCCATACCGTAGTCCATATCTTTTCAATTGGTATTTGATACCATAATTGTTTTATTAAACTCTTTATAGAGCAAATTGCTTTGAAAGCTGTCAAAGTTTTTTGCAAACGTACAAAATACTGCAGTGCAAAAAGCAAATTATTTTCATGAAGTATCTGTCAGTTGAAGTCGTCAGTTCATCTCACAACAACAAATTTTAAATTTGACCAATCAGTGTTCGCTATTCACGACAGTCCTCTATATTTTGAGATCAGTGAGGATGACCACCCATGAACGGTGAACCATGCGCCCGCGATATTTGGAAATTTATCCAAATTATTGAAGTCCACCTTATCACAACCCGCACACCCGATTACCTAAATATACATGAACTTACGGTTAAAGCTCGACAGCTGGTCTCTTGTAGCTCAGTTGGTTAGAGCGCTGCACCGGAATCGCAGGGCCGTAGGTTCAATTCCTACCAGAGGACCTTGTGCTGCATTTTTCGCAGTCGTTCCTTGTTAAGTCTTAAAATGTATATATTCTCACTTGGATTACAAACCCTAACATTCAAATATTAATCCCAACAAGTGAAGTGCAAGAATCCAAATTATCGAAGTCCACCTTATCATAACCCGCACACCCGATTACCTAAATATACATGAACTTATGGTTAAAGCTCAACAGCTGGCCGAGCTGTAGCTCAGTTGGTTAGAGCGCTGCACCGGAATCGCAGGGCCGTAGGTTCAATTCCTACCAGAGGACCTTGTGCTGCATTTTTCGCAGTCGATCCTGGTTAGGTCTTAAAATGTATATATTCTCACTTGGATTACAAACCCTAACATTCTAATATTAAGTCCACCAAGTGAAGTGCAAGAATCCAAATTATTGAAGTCCACCTTATCATAACCCGCACACCCGATTACTTAAAATTTAATATACATGAACTTACGGTTAAAGCTCAACAGCTGACCTCTGTAGCTCAGTTGGTTAGAGCGCTGCACCGGAATCGCAGGGCAGTAGGTTCAATTCCTACCAGAGGACCTTGTGCTGCATTTTTCGCAGTCGTTCCTGGTTAGGTCTTAAAATGTATATATTCTCACTTGGATTACAAACCCTAACATTCTAATATTAAGTCCACCAAGTGAAGTGCAAGAATCCAAATTATTGAAGTCCACCTTATCATAACCCGCACACCCGATTACTTAAATATACATGAACTTACGGTTAAAGCTCAACAGCTGGCCTCTGTAGCTCAGTTGGTTAGAGCGCTGCACCGGAATCGCAGGGCCGTAGGTTCAATTCCTACCAGAGGACCTTGTGCTGCATTTTTCGCAGTCGTTCCTGGTTAGGTCTTAAAATGTATATATTCTCACTTAAAATGTATATATTACAAACCCTAACATTCTAACCCTAACATTCTAACATTTGAAATTAAGGATTTGGAGGTTTTGCGATCACCGACAACTTGATAATTTTATAAAACAAAACACTTCTATCTCCAACTTTTACAATCACTGATAAATTGATAATAATTTAAACCAGTCTAGCTGTAGTTTAAATAGAGAATAATACATGGGTGCACGAAATACCAGATTTATTTCGAGTGTTGAACATGAGTGTGCAGCGAACAAGTGAGCGCAGCGAACGAGTGAGATGTCATGTTCAACACAAAAAATAAATCTGGTATTTCCAACCACCCATGTATTTTTCTGTTTATTATATAAAGGACAGTCTTAAATGAAAAGCGATAATGTTTACAGAAAAGCGATAATTGAAAAGGCGATAAATTTTTACATGTGAGATTATCATGAATAATTTCACATCTGAGATTATCATTTTTGTCAGTGCTCGAAAACTCTGTAAAACACTATACTTTATATAATAAAAATTCATAAATTTGAACCATGCTAGAGCATGACAACAGCAAAATGCTCTATAGTATGATGCACAATATTTTGGGAGGTGATCGAAATACACGAACAATAAATCAGAGAGTGTTTGCTTGGAACTCACTGGGGGGGGGGGGGTGCAACACCCCTGATTATTGCTCATGATGAATTTCAGGTAGATTTCCAGTGCACTTTTAGTACCTACATTTAAGTAGATTTGCAGAAGATTTTCAGGGGAATTCAGGTAATTCTCAGGACATGACTGAGAAAGTGAATTTGGAAAACAACTGTATTAAATTTCGGAAAAATTATTATATGTCCTGAAAAATTTTTGTACATCTGGAAACTTTTTGGTAACCCCCCCCCTCTATCTAACCCCCCCCCCCCTGCGACGAAGTGCTCGCAACGGCACTGAGTATATATCTTTTGAAAACAGGCGAGGGGTTATTGCATGCATGTATTTCTAGTTACACTGTTTAATGCTAGCCGTAATGATGTCGTCAACAATCGGCGCTAGAACGCTAGAGAATCGTTTAAGTAACCATGCTGGAATAGCATCGGCTCCCGTTGCTTTCGAGTGGTTAAGGTGATTTAGGACATAGATAGATAGATAGATCAACTTTATTTAAACACATTGGCCTTTTCAGCAAAAGCTGATTTCCAAAAGGGATGTGTACTTACAAATTATTATTTATATACTAGCCCTAATATTACATACATAACTAGAGGGCACTCAGAGACTGCATACCTCCGCCCGTTACTCGGAATTGAAACGCAACCTTGGAATTTCCTAAGAAATCCACTTTATAATTCTTAAGCATAAAAGATTTCAGGCCCCCGCGAATTGAAATCGAATTGCTAATAGAACATATTACTGTTGTTGTACTGTACAGTACTTGTAAAATAAAAACTTATTAAGTGTCATTAAATAAATGCATAAATTTTGCTTTATGCACTAGCGCGTGCAGTAATTTTCACAGTTGTGCTATTTTAAATTCCAGGCAGCTAAAATCTTTTGTCTTTAAAACAATGTCGATTTCTTGGGAAATTCCGAGGTTGCGTTTTTTTTTATACACCCTGTATTGAAGTAATCTAATGTTATTAGAATTTGAATGGACTGGCACTTTGCTGAACGTAATAATGCGTAACTCCGTAAGCCTTGTTTTAGACATTGAATTTCGGTCGCGTGAAATGCAACTAAAACAATAGATAATGAAGGCCGAAGCTTAATGAGGTTTATCATCTCATTATTGTCTTAGCACTGAGTGCATAAATTATACACGTCCTAATTACGCATTCAGTAATATTTTTTGTTAATTGACCGGGAAAAGCAAGACAAAATTTTGTTCATTTCTCGTTCAATTTTTAACCAAATTCAACCAAATTTTAATCAGTTCTTTCTTAGCCGATGGGAAATGCATTCAAAAAATTTCGTATGAATATGTTTGGTATTTCTTGAGTTATCGTGCTCACAGACAAACACACACACATACACACACACACACACACACATACACACACACACACATACACATACAAACCCAGATGATTACATAACCTCCTGGCGGAGGTAAATTACATAACCTCCTGGCGGAGGTAAACAAACCCAGATGATTACATAACCTCCTGGCGGAGGTAACAAATACAATTATATACCTATTTAGACAAAAAATTAACTACTACTTTAAGTCGAGATTAAGGTCGAGGAAGATATCTTTTTACAGAACGAATTATACGATACCGAATTGCGTATCTCTTCAGGTATCTGATTCCATAGTTTAGCCCCACTATATTGGAAGCTTTTTTTTAAGGATTCCGTTTTTGGTCTTGGAATATAACACCTTGTCGAAGAACCTCTCAGATTATGGTCATGAATGGTATTCAGATTTTGGAAAGCTTCACATAGTCGTTGGGGGGCAAAACCATTAACTGTCTTGTACATGAGCCTGGCTTTCATTTGTGCCCTACGCTCTTCAAGTGTTACCCAGCCTAGAAATTTTCGTGCCAAAATAGACTGACCATGTTCATTTTTTAAGTTCATGATCAACCTAGCCGCTCTGTTTTGGAATTTCTGTAGACGTTCACTTAGGCCTTTATTAAGTGTATCCCATACTTCACAGCAATAATCAAAATAAGGTTGGATTAAGGCATTATAAACTTTTATCAAAATGTCTTGTTCGACATACTCCCTCATTTTTCTAATAGCCCCAATACCTGATGATATTTTACTGCTAATATGGTTAATGTGTTTTTCCCAACTCAAGTTTTCGTCTAATTCAACTCCAAGAGCTTTGGTATTTTTAACTTTTTTAATCAATTGATTATTTATTTTAACTCCTTGATGGGTATCAATATTACTTATTTTATGTCGTGTTCCAATTAAAACATACTCGGTTTTCACTATATTTAGACTTAGTTTATTTGCTGACAAAGCCATTTCTGAACATTCCTCATGTCTACGCTCGCCCTCTCTTCCGCCTCACTAATTGTTCTGCCTACTGCCGTTAAGTTAGTATCATCAGCAAACATTCTTGGAGTTGTGCGTTCTAGGCAGCTTGGCAAATCATTTATATACATAATAAGTAAGAGAGGGCCGAGTATACTTCCCTGAGGAATGCCACAAATGATTTCTTTCTCCACCGAGAGTATACTGGCCAATTGACAACTTTGAGTTCGGTGCGTCAAATAGCAACGTAAAAGATTTAATGCTTTCCTTTGGAAACCATACATTTCAAACTTACTTAACAGTATTTCGTGGTCGACGGTATCGAATGCTTTTTTTAGGTCAAGAAAAACAACTAAGTTATACAGCCCACGGTATACCATTCGTTCGTACAATCCAATAATGTAGTAGTTGTGGAATGATAAGGTCTGAAACCAAATTGGTGTTTTGAGAAAAGATTATTCTGGTTAAGATACTCATACATTTGATCATACATAATTCTTTCCATAAGTTTACTTACTACAGGAAGGATTGATATCGGTCTATAGTTGTCCAACATGGACCGCTGACCTTTCTTAAACAACGGAATAACCCTTGCAGCTTTCCAATCAGAAGGAAATTGATCAGAGTCAATTGACATATTAAAAATCTCAGCAAGAGAAGGTGCAATAACTGGAGCTACTACTTGTAGAATTTTAGCTGAAATTTTATCCATTCCAGTCGCTTTGGTGGTAGACAAATTAACTAGAAGAGTGTAAACCAATGTTACACTCACTGGTCGAAATGAGAACTGTTCTTTGTCTTAGATTTTTGTTGAGTAATAAAATCTCGAAAACTAACGTCATTGTCATTTGGAATAGACTCAGCAAGCTTTGGGCCAATATTACTAAAATGATCATTAAAAATGTCGACTAATTCGTCGGTCGATGTAACAGTTTTACCTGGGAGTTTAATTTCATTAATCGTAGTCTGTTTTCTATTTCGACCTAATATATCGTTTATTGTTCTCCAAGCATATTTAGGATTCTGTTTAGGACGCTCTTAATCTGGCCAATACTAGGTAGAGGGGGAGGATAGTTTTTAACAAGTGACTCAACTTCATCTAGTTGGGGAATACTTGTTGTAATTAGGTCTTTCCAAGGTTCAGTAAAGGATATTTGAAATTTTCCTGCTAAAGCGGCCTCGCTACCCATGGAGTTTACTGTTAGTCCTTTATGCTGACTACTACTATTTTACTAGAAATATATGCATGCGGCAACCCCTCACCTATATTTTTTTAAAGCATTGTTTATTTAACGTGTATTATTTAACAAATATAAAACATTTTCCGTGTGGATATATATACAGTTATATCAACACGAGTGGAAGTTGGGAAAACGAGAAATTGTGTGGAAACACGACGCCCGAAGGGCGGAGTGTTTTCACACAATTTCGAGTTTTCCCAATTTTCACGAGTGTTGATATAACTGTATATCAATACGGAAAAATGTTTTATATTTGTTTTATAATATAGCACAAAGAAACACAAAGAAATAAACTTTTCAACGCTTCCGTGTTGACATTGAGTTATATCAACACGGTTCTTAGCCAATCAGCGTTCAGAAATTACAAATGCTATATTATAATAACAATTGGTCAACACTGAATGTTTGCGTTGTACGTCTAGTGTTGCAGTGGCAGCGCGATAATTTTTTTAATTTTCGTTCAAAACGACAAAAATGGTTGGAAGATTAGTGCTTTCTATACAACAATGAATTTCCGAAATATCAAATCAAATCAAAAATGTTTTTAAATGTTCATTCAACAGTTAAAGCTGCTTTTGCCGATATGCTGTTTTACTTAAGAAACTAAACAAAGTAAGTTTTCATTGTTGAGTAATTTCAGTTCAGTCACAAGGTAATTTAGGAAACTTACAGTTTCATTGAAAAGGAAAGCAGTGCATGTTTTATACGAAAAAAATAAAGCAACAAAATGCATCAACATTAAATATTGCAAAGAAAACGTACCCTATTTTTCCATAATAAATCAATTATTCTGGTTTCTTCAGACACAAATTGCTTCAGCTCATTGTAGGAAACGGTATTCCAAATTTCTTTTAAAAATTGAAATCTTGTTTATCCCACTCCTGTCAAACAACCATACTTTGGTGATTAGTGGGAGGTCCACCACGTGAGGATGCCGTTTTATTTATGCAAGTAAGATCCATATACTTATATAGTTATATTATCTAAACTTTCAAAAAACAAGACTCATTTTTAATTCAAATAATTTCTGTATGTTTTGGCACAGGTAAACCTCGGTTGATTTCCTTGAAATTGGCTTGATAAACAGAGTAAATCAGTATAAAAAGCGAAAAAAATGACAAAACATCCAAGCCGAAAGTGACCAAGAGAACGCCTACTCTTCGGAACAATTATATCAGAGAAAAATGCTCTTTCAATGGACAATTTTTTTTAATAAAATAGAAAAACACAACTAAAAGTAAAGTCTGTAATTAGGAAGTTATACATGAATAAAAAGTTTTGAGCTCAGTTACATGGCCTCGCTTTTTTTTAATTTTAGGCCAGTATTCATCTGTGAGTGTTTGACCGCTCTCTTCCCTTGCGTGAACAGACTGGGATTGACTCGCAAGTTTGGCATCACATTTCCGGTGAGAGGTAGCGTACGTTCCAGTTCGATTCAGTTCAATGCTTCGCTAATGTTTTCCTTTCCCCGGGTGTAAATAGCCGAGGAAACTAGAGCCCTCGCCTGGGGCTAACGCGTCGATCTACCGTAGCAGAGTAAACTCATCGACAGGATCAGCGCGCTATACCTCGCCTACAAACAGGCCCCACTCCCTCCTACACGTATATATGATCGAATTGAAAAGGAACATGCCGTAGAAGACTAATGCGGGCTTCGTACTTACGTATGATGTAAAATGGTCCTCTCCTTTTCATTGGATAATTTATAGGACCACCGTCTACTGCATCTGTTTTTCCTGCTATTGTATCCTTTGATCTCCACCGTAACGGCGCTGGTGGAAGAGCGTCCAATAGCTTACTCCTCTTTCCAAACGTGAGTAAACTTGGGCCGTCAACAACGTCTTCAATCTCACATTTTCTTTTCCTTTTAGTTGACGTCTTTCTTTTATTTGATGTCGTCTGCTGTGGCTTTTTGGTCACGTTTATAGTTCGACGTGGTCGTAGTTCGCGAGACTGATTTACAGATGAATCTTTGCTACGTGTTTGTCTTGAAGCCATTTCTACAAATCAGTTTAAAATGAAGATCATTCTTCTCCACGGTCAAGTAAAAATAAGAATTTTTTTCGGAAAAGTAAATTGAATTTAAAAACACCACTGGCCTATCGCTGTCATAAGAATTTTTTTCGGAAAAGTAAATTGAATTTAAAAACACCACTGGGCCTATCGCTGCCATAGACCAATATGCATTGCGTTCGGAAAAGAATTTTTTTCGGAAAAGTAAATTGAATTTAAAAACACCACTGGGCCTATCGCTGCCATAGACCAATATGCATTGCGTTCGGAAAAGAGGATATTTTGATTCAGTAGAGTGGAAGCACTATAAACTCACATGTTTTCAAAATGGCAGAATTCTCGAGACGAGACGAAATGAAGCAAAAAAGAGCAAGAAAAACGATTGAAAGAGGAAAAAATTGAAGAAATAGTTGTACAACGCCAAAGCTCAGATGTCTCGGGCAAGGAACAAACATACAGCAGAGTTGAGCCGCGAGAATTCGTGCAGTTTGGTGAAAGGGATATGAGCATGGAGAACAAAATATATAACAGGAAAGGCTGCTTGTCTGAAGCATTTTGCTTCCAAAATTGGTCCAAACACGATTTGTGATATTGTCACTGGAGAGCTGGGAGCCGTCATAATGTCGCTATTTGTAGGGGCCAATACAGGGGTCGTCATAGGAGCCTATAATTATATGGGAGCCGTAATATATATATATATATATATATATTAATATATATATATATTAATATATATATTATATATATATATATATTATATATATATATATATTATATATATATATATATATATATATATATATATTAATATATATATATATATTAATATATATATATATATTAATATATATATATATATATTAATATATATATATATATATATATATATATTCGTCTTAGATTTAATAACCACAAGAGTTCGCTTAATAGATATTCTAAGGGCCAAAGAGGTTTATGTGGTCAACATTTGTATGAACATTTTTTTGAGGAGGGCCATTCGGGTCTTAATGACTTTAAAGCACAGATTATCGATATCACGGGTATTAATAAATCTGCAGAGAGGGAAAGTTTTTGGATTGAAAAATTGAATACATATATGTACCACTGGCATTAAATTTGAGGGAGGAATATTGAATGCAAATCTATATATTATTAGTGTAAGTTAATTAGGATTGGGCCGAAAGTATTTAAGGACATGGATTTGAACTTATCTCGTTTCTGACGAATTGGCTGTGCCTCGAAACGTATTTATGTATTTATTTGAAATTTAATAAAATTTATTTCTAACTATAGTGGCTGTCATATTGTATTATTGTCGCAATTAGGAGCCAAAGTACGAAAGTAGGTAGGGGCCACCATACAGGGGGCCTTATAGATATAGATATATATATATATATATATATATATATATATATATATATATATATATATATATACCGTATATATATATATATATATACCGTACACACATATATAAAATTTGATTTTGTTGGTTATAAAAACTTTTGGTAAAGTGCTCAATGGAAAACCAGAGCATATTTAAATTAAGGTATAACAAATCAACAAAATCCACTAGGCATCTTTATTACTAAATAGTTTCGTACCACAGTATGTGGCACTCTTCAGATAAATTGACCTAATGACTATAGACTAAAACTTACAAGGTTATATGTACAAGTGGATGAGACATGAAACTTAATCCTATTTACAAAGCACGCGATTTAATAAACATGTTATGTGATAAGCTGACAGGACGCGGAAAGATTAACACACCGCGGTATATTTAAATGTCTAGCTTTTAAATGTTACTTAAAAGGAATTTTTTATTATGCCTACATGCTGATACTAACTCATTACGTTTGTTTAAAGTTGCCACTTTGGGCTTACAAATGATAAAGTATTTTTCCCATAAACACAAATTACATCTATTTGAAGCACAGTTATAAGGCTTAGCTCGTTTCAATAGTTTCCATTTGATTGTATAATGGATGTTTCGATTTTTCAATTCCCACACGTATTTGCTAAGTTCAGTAGCGTTCCGTTTGTCAAAAGAGTTAAATGATGCTTT